GGCGGCGGCCCCGCGCGGGCATGCCCGGGACGGCGGCGGCGTTCCGCGGGCGAGCGGGCGGGGCGCGGTCGTGCCCCTCTCTCTGGGGGCCGCTCTAGCCCCTCTCTATGGCCCTGGAAGCCCCGGGCCCCCTCGGCGCCGCGGAAGGAGGAAAGGGGAGGGGGAAGCAACCACAGGAGGACTCCACACCGGAAGCGGAAGGTGCCTGCCCAGCTCACTTCCGCCCTCGCTCCTTGCCCTGTCAAGCTCCCACCCCGCGCCGCGTCGTGTCAGCCTGCGCGCGCCGTTCCTTCCGGCCGCTGCCATGGAGACAGGGCGGGGCAGCAGAGCTCCACCCCCGAGCTGAGACGCCAGGCGCGAGTGCATCCGCCGAGCCTTAAAGGCGCGGGGGTCTCGGTTCTCCCTGTTGGCAATCGCGGCGGAATAGGCTGCTTGACCCCTTTACCCTGCGAGCATGGCAACCTAAAAATGCGGGGGGGTAGTAGGTTTAGGTTTCAGGTGGAGGGTTGCTGCAGCCGGGTGCTGCAGGGAACGTCGGAGGCAGGGTCGTTCGGGGGGAGTGTTCATGGGCCCAGCTGCATGGGTGGGCCCTAAGTAGCGCCTGGTCCAACGGCTCTCCCCGCACTGCCCAAACCACGGGTCCAGTGAAAGGTACCCCAAGACATCCTTGGCCCTCCTTGGTTGATTTCAAGCTTGGAAACAATCCGTTGTCATTTGGCCCGCGCCCACCGAAGAGGCAAGGGAAAGTAGAGGAGTTCTACCTGAATCTTCAGTCCGCGGTGAATGAAATACAAGACATCTGGACGTATCTGTCATCACCCATGGCAGCATTAGACCCAAATATGATCATGTTGACTACAAAAAGATGTGTAGACATGGAGTTAGCACAAGAAACAGGAACAGAAAGCATATATGAACCTTGCTGCAGGTGACTTAAGTCATGGGGTTACTGGTTTTTAGCGCAAGAGCATGCACCAAATGGCATGGATTCTGCCAGAGTTGTACACAGAGTCCAACCATGATTAACCATGAGTGAAAAAAATCTTCCCTCAATGCAAGTGAAGCAACATGCAAATGGTAGCACTGACCTTCACTTAGTTTTGATGGGAGAAAGCAAGTTAAAGTTGCAGAAAAACCAAAGGAGTTGAAAGAGGAAAGATCAAACTGTCAAGCAAGGGTTCTATGCAGATATCAGGAGCAGACTGAATGAAGAAGATCTGGATATCTCTTGGTTTAATACAATAATGAAAGTAAAGGCTACATAGTTGCCCCCCGGCATGATGTACCTTCAGATTTTTCGGAAAGGGGCCTGGCCTGGGGCACGGAGATGACATAGCTTAGCTATGGAAGGGTGATAGCATGGCTGAGTAGTGCCCGACAGCTAAATCCAGGGAAGGAAGCTGTTCTGAGCCTGGACCCTCTTGACACATATGCATACACCATGGTAAGAAGTGAGGGGTCTGAGCAGTGCAGAGGGACACAAATAAACATGGCACCATGACATCGAAAACAGCAAATTTATTTCCCATAAAAAACAAAAACCATACAGACAACTAAGAATCAAGTGAGGAGCAGGGCTGTAGCATGTAGCCTGTCTCCCTTTCCCCCAACCTGGGGAGACCTATTCAGCCCTAAAAAGTTGTAGCCAGAAGCAGGCTTTAGTCCCTGTGGTACAGTCTCTGGCTTTGGCACCTTGGGGCAGTCTCACGGCCAGGACATATAGACCTGTACCACATCCAGCAGGCTCTGTGCCAGCCTGAGCACCTCTTGCTCCTTGGCAGCCGGGAAGGCCTCATTGGGAATGGTGGGTGGGTGGTGGTAGCTGGGATACTGTGTGGTGTTGCTGTCCACGCCATAGTCTCCCAGCTTATCCACCAGCCCCAGGACACCTTCCAGCTGAGGGGCATAGGCCGCCACCTTCTGGGCCAATGTGTCCAGCATGTGCCCTGGCTCAAAGGGCTCTCCGTGACTGAATATGGCGGCAGCCAGAGCTTTCTCCACAGCACGGTGGACTTTGTAGAAGACCCACTCAGTGGCATGTTGGCCCACATCATGGCAGGCTGCTCGTAAGTCACTCTCTGCCTGCCGGAACCAGCGCGTGGCCTCCCCAGCTTGGGTGCTTCTGGCCGCCTTGGTCTGCTGGTGTGACCAGAAATCATAGTGGAAGTTGCCACCTGCCTGCTCTGTGAACTGCTGGCGGCTCTGCCTGTGTCGGTGAGCCTGCTTGTCCCATGTGCCCCAGAAGGCACGAGAGCCCCTGAAACCATGTGGACTAGGGCTGGTACCACTGGCAGGTTGCAGGTTCCCATTCTCTTCTAGCTGCTGGATCTGATCCTGTAGGTACTTGCACACCTCATTGGCCAGCTCCTCCCGCTCCACATTCTTGTCAGGGTGGTAGCGTAGGTAGAGGCGCCGGATGGCCTTGCGCCGTTCTGCGTCAGGCAGTGCCCAGAGATTCACCAGACAGGCATCCACCTCCTTTTTTATTTCTGCCAGGGACTTCTGGTACCACTTCTCCCGCTCCTTGCTCTGCCCCTCTGGGTCTAGCACTGGTACCACTGCTGTACTAGGGCACCAGGGCTTTGGCTGACTCCTCTTAAACTGGTACAGGTCATTGGCAGTGACCTCCTCATGGCGCCCAGCTCCCAGGTCAATGCGGTAGGTGGGCACCTGCCCACCTTTCAGGAGCTCCAGCACCACAGCATACAGGTAGCGCTCCCCTGGCACTGCTGGGTCCAGGTAGCCCACATAGTCGTGTGGGGAGAAGGTGTTAAGGATGCTCATGTCCAGACAATCATGCCATTCTTCAGGGATCTCCTCACCTGTTGGAGGCAGGGCATAGGCATTGGGGCAGGGGATGGGCTGTAGGGGGACCCCTTTGTCCTTCAACACTTCAGCAACTTCACTTGGGTTCTTGCAAGCCAGCATCTCTCTGAGGATGTTCATGGAATTAGGGAGCAGCATTTCTCCAAGCATGCTGTTCACCTCTGTGGCCAAAGTGTTTGTAACCTCCACCACCTGGCGGTCTGTCGCCTTCTCCCAGTGCTGCAGATGGATGTGGCGCCGCCCCTCAGCATCTCGGGACACACAGACTACCCGTTGATGCTGGCTGCCCTCCACCAGCTTTGCCTGGTGCACCAGCACCGTCCAGATCTCCTTGCAGCACACCACCTCCAGCTGCTCGCCTGAGAAGGCCCCAAGCCAATCCTGCCTGGCTTCCTTCCCCACCTCCTCCTCGCTCTGCCACCTCAACAAGGACATCAAGCCCTCCTGGAAATGCTGGGAGACCAAGAGCCTTTGGAAGTGCCTCTGATGCTTACAACGGTCACCATAGTGACACAGTCTCAGCAAATTCTCCTCCAGGCGCTGCTTTGTGATCTCCGAGAGCATCTTGGGTCTCAAGGCCTGGGGCAGTAGTTGCACCAGCTTCCCATGCTGGTACTCCTGGGCAGGCAGGTGGCATTTGGAGAGGTCCACCAGGAAGTGGAAGGTCTGCTCCAGGACTTTCCTGAAGTGGCAGAAGGTGCAGTTGTTGTAGACCAAGGTATTGGAAGGGTACAGTTTCCCATCAGTGCAGGGCAGGTGTAGCTCCTCCACCCCAGAGAAATCTGCCTGCTTCTGTGAGATGTGGAGCAGCTGGAATAGGTGCTGAGTTGCCCTCAGCACCGTCTTGGTTAGGTTGGGCTGCAGGCTTTCCTTGTCCTTTGTCTCTCTGTAGATCTGACTGAGGGTCCGGATATAGTGGTGAAGGGAGGGCTCCAGCTCCACCCCCAGCTTCTGCAAAAGGTTGGTGTAGAAGCCCAACTGCGGAGATGTTGTGAAGAGGTAAGGGCAGAGCTCCTGCTCATCCCGTAGAGAGATGACCACCTGGCTGGGCTCTGCCACTGCTTCCCCTTTCACCAGGATTGAAGGGACCCCTGCCAAGCAGGCAGCATCAAAGTTGTCCAGGTCATCCTGCAGGAAGGCATACATGCACATGAGGGCTTCCGTCCGCATCTTCCTATCCTCTTCAGTTTTGCACTGTGTGCGGCAGACATTTGCCAGGTTGGTCGCAACCAGCATGGTTGGTAGCTTGAACAGTACCCCAAGCCGCTCCAACACGACCTTGCTTTTCTCCTCTACAGGTGAGAGCGACAAAATCACGACAGCAGTCCAGGCCAGGGTGATGGTATCTTTGCTTGAGATACCATCGCTGTGCAGCACTGCACCCTTCAGAGCCACTGGCTGTGTAGGTGGGGCAAAGGGCAGGTGGAAGCTGCTCAGGCGGGCTGGCACCTCTTGTGGAATCAAGAAGCGGATGGTGGAGACCTGCTGAAGGAAGCTGTCCTGCAAGGAATCACTCTTCCAGGACAGCAGGTGGCACAGCAGGGCCTCGCGTTGAGCAGGCAGGCTCCCAGCCATGGCACCATCCAGCACTGCCTTCTGCTCAATCTGCCTGGCCAGCTTCAAAAAGTCCTCCTTGGAGAGCTCCTTCTTCATGCCCACAGCCAGCAGAAAGTTATGCACCTTTGGCTTGCTAACCCCCATCACCTTAAAGAACACCTTGGGCACGAACTTGGCCTCCAGCCCCAGGTCTTTGAACAACTTTGAATCTTGGTCGTAGAAGTAGGATGCTTGGCGCAGGACCCCATCCCTGTCCCGGATGAATCTGATAGGCTGGAAGGCCGTGAAAATAATTTTTTTCTCGTCCTGGTGCTCTTCCCAATTGAACCTCTTCTGGATCTCAAACAGCAGCTTCAGGATGTCCTGCAACTGCCTTTCAGAGAAAGAGGGCAGGCACGGCAGGAGATGCTGAATGAAATGCTGCAGGTCATTTAACACTGGGAGCTTCAAGCTCTGGGAGAGGCACTGATTTATCTCATTGTTCTGCAACCAGACGGTCTGCTCATCCACCTGGTAGAGCTCCTTGAAGGTCTCAGATGACTTGGCGATTTTGGTATCTAGGACATAGACATTACAGTATGGAGTCAGAGCTACTCGGTTCCCCAGATGGGTCTGGAACAGGGGCAGGGAACGGAACTTGGCCAACAGGGCCTGGTTACACACCACCTTCTCCATGTCCATGAGGAAGAATTGCAGCAGGCTGTTGGTCTCACAGGAGTTCAGCTGGTTCCAGCGAAGGTCCGCTCTGGTGGCCAGGTGCCCCAGTAATGCAGGCAGGTCATCAGGTTGCAGTGTGCGGGGCTGAATGCAGAACACAGTGATGCTTGAAGGCAGCAGGTGGATATCCATGTTGGCGAAGCCCAGCTTGCTCAGGAGTTTAAACATTTCATCTCTACTCGGGTAGAG